TTTTTTAAAAAATTATTTCAAATGCTTTATCTGTGCCGAAACCTGTTAACCACGAACATTTTATCGAAATTTCTACATGAAAGCAAATAAATACCAAACAAGATTAAACATCGTGACACTTTCAGATTTTCTTTACACGAGGTCCAGATGGTTCATCACACGTCATCAGATCAAAACTTTTATTAGTACAAGTATATATATATATATATATATATATATATATATATATATATATATATATATATATATATATATATATATATATATATATATATATGATTATCATACCTTTGGCCAACAAAGTTAAAATTCTGCTCAGTATTTGGAAACACAACGAAGACAAAGTACGATGTAGCTAGAACATAATGAAATCGTTTAAATTATTTCATCTGTTCTTGCAGGAACCAGAAATATGTAGCATGCTTTTCCCCCCACAACAACATCCTTATAAAAATTTCCCAGTCACCAAACATTCTACCCTTTCACGAGGGTTAGAGTTTTGAAGAAAAAAATACAATCTTACAATATAATCCTCCCAGTTTAGTACTCCATTCCGCGAACAAGAAAAATACCGGACGAGGAATCTGGGCACTGCGTTCCCTTACGGTTGTAAGGACCATATCACGGATAATGTGGGGAATCATTCAAGATCAGTATGCCAGTGTGAAATGAAATGAAAAATGAAATATTACATGATCAATATATATAGAAGTTCCAGATGACAAAGGTTCCAAAAATAGTTTTTGTTAGTAAGGATCATTGTTATAACTGTATTTTAGAATAAGATCTGTAGAATTATTTATTTACATCTTTATGATAAATACACCAAATATGGGATCAGTAATTCATGTTTGGAATGATCAAAATTTTCATAGTGTTAAATGGATTGCGACTGCAATAAACCAAAACTCAAAGATCAGTTTTTATAAAAATGGTATAGTGATATGAATAATTCCAGTAAAGGTATTACATATAGAATTTTTAAAACAAAGTTTGAATATGAAAAATACTTAACTATTTTACCAAAAAAAAAAAAGAAGTTAGAAATATCTTTTCAAAATTCAGAACAAGTAAACATCGTCTTCCCATAGAAGTGGGTAGATGGAATAATGTTGAAAGAAATGAAAGAGTGTGCTATTTATGTAATAATAATCAAATTGGAGACGAATTTCATTACTTACTGGAATGTAATGTATTATGTAATATTCGGAAAGATTTTCTGTTAAAGAAATACTATGTACATCCAAATACATGTATTATAAAATCTGTAATTTGATGACAAATACTGATCCAGCATTCATAAGAAAATTGTGTTATTTATCATCACTGACACTGTCTGTCCTCCTGTAATTTCTGATCGTCCATAATTATTGTAAATATGTATATATACCTCTTGTACCATTCATATGGTTTTTGAGAGAATGAATGAATGAATGAGAAGAAATTGGCTTTAATTTCACATCTGGTAATCCAATTTATACTCAAGGTTACCGTTCAAGGATAAAATTCTTCAAAATCATATTTCAGTTTTTTTTAAAAAATACTATACATGTAAGTACTTTTAACATCCCAGTGAGTGAATTTGGGTTAACGTATACCTATACTGGATTCCAAAACTTCATAAATATCCTTACAAACAAAGATATATCCTGTATGTTCTACCAAAGACTATGCCCTATCTTTAATCCTCACAAAAAGTTACTGCTATGAAGGAGAAATTTCCAACAAACTCTGTCACAGCATATTCAAGAATGAAAAAGGTGAGTGCCATTCATCTATCTACAATTCTACAAACAATTCGTAATATACATGAATTATTAATAACAAAGAACTAACTATTGATTTGAAACATTTGTTATTAAAAGTAATCTTAATTTCAACTTTTCTATATCTATCTCGAGATAATTATACGCAAGTTTAATTTAAGATTGTACTTTAATTTAACATATTTACAAACAAGATCATTATAATGACCATAGCATTAATGAGTTGTCGTCTTTAACAAAGAGTGGTGTTAATCAAATGTGAAATAAATAAATAAAAACTTCTAGAAAATTTGATATCACATTTTTTCAACTCCACAATCAACATCATCATAGCGTATGACTTTTCAACACTTTATGCAACCATTTTCTCGCGATAAATTAAGGACCAGGCTTTCCCATTGTAGACAACAACTTCTTCAATGAAATTGGAATTGGGAAATTTTCACATCTTATGTTTAGTCATCTACAAAATTAATTTGCTGAAAATCATTCTGATTCTATACACAAAAGTACTCTGAAGTTGATACTAAAAAATATACTGGAGCTCTTCATTGACAAGGTTGCAAATAACCAGTCGCTCATTAGCAAATGCTAGTATTTTTGTCCGTGGGCGAGCAATTCTTGATGAGGATGTAATCGCCCACATGGCGAGTAAGAATTTTATCACAACTTTTCTAGAACCTGACAATGCTTTGAATCTACAAATAAATGCATTTTCATTTTCAATGTTTCTTACCTACAAAATATTCTCTATAGGCCTTGAATCGCCTCAATGTAATTTTGAGGGGTCTCGAAAGGAAGGAAAACAAAATTTCAAGCTATTTCATTCATTCATAGTGTCTCAATCATCAGGGAAATGAGAGACTGTTGACAGCAAAGAATACTTTTAAGAAATTAAAATACAAAAAGACTGAGAATATTTTTTTTATACAAAATCGAGAGAAAATTCTGGACCCCAAAATATCAATGTGGGCTATTAAAACTTGAGGGTCCACATGCCCTTAAGGTTTGAAATGTTATTTGCAACCCTGAATTTAATGACAATATCCATGCAGTCTTTAGAGAATACATCTTTCAACAAACTTTTGAAATTCCCAATTTAGGATAAAATTGCGCTCAAAATTAACAAACCTGCTTTTACAGGGTGTTTCATAATATGTGTTACATTTTGAATGTAAATTTTGACAAACACAAGGAAGAGATTCAGACAAATCATCATTTTGATGCATGTACCCATTACATTCATTTTGTACAATTACCAACTAAAATATTAAACTCTAGCTGAAAAATCGTAACTTTAATGAAAAATAGCGAAATTTCTAAATTGTGTCATTTTTCACAACGTCAAAACTCACTTAACACATAATCAAAATGATCTCTGCCTATTTCAACTGCCAGAGAAAGTCTTGATTTTTTTTTTTTTTACAAAGGTGTCACACAGTTTTGCTTAGACATTTCTTATCTGAAGTTTTATGTTCCTTTCGAGCGCATTCAGTGTCTGTGGTTTAGGATTTTAGACCCTGTCCGTAGGAATCGCCAAAGGAAAAAGCATACAGATTGAGATCTGCTGAATGCAGGGGTCAAGTCCTTTCCTTAGGGTGTTGCATATATGAGAATTTGTAAGTTGATTACTTCATTTTTTTCATATTTCAAAGTTCAATGTACTCTGTAAATGCTGATATTAGGAGCTTGCTAAGCTTTATAGAGCCTCCATTTCACCAATAAAATCTGTTCGTTAATTTTTTTAAAAACTTTTTTCGGGGGGGGGGGGTTATTTCATTTATCGCATGTTGCAAGTCCCTGTTCTTTAACCTTGTTACTAGCCATCTGACTAGCACTCAAGAGAGCTCTCATTCTTTTGGAATATTTCCCTTGCGATTTATATTTAAAAAAAAAAACAACTTAACTATTCGGCAAAATGTTTTTAAGTTTTGTCCATTTCCAAAAAAATATTCATATTATGACATTGGCGTTGATGTCACAATTAAACATTCAAATACTAGTCCCATGATTTCTTTGACTTTTTCACATGGAATAAAAATGCAGGATTCGATGTTTAAAATGATATATGGTTTTTGTTATAAATATGATAGGTAAGAAAAATATTTATATTTAAAAATGTAACATTCATTATGAAACATCCTGTATATCCGTGATTATTTGAAAAAAAAAACTTCTACATGGGAAGAAAAATCTTGCTGTGGTCTTTAATTCGACACTTCAGTATACTGAGGACGTTTATCAAATAACATTCTTTTTCATATTTAAAGACGATATATCCAAGATAACTCAAAATATCCCAAATAAAAGACACTACAGAGTCTGCCACATCTGCTTCATTATTGGATATTTTACTGAATCATTATAGGATCTATGACAAACTGAAAAGCTAAAGAAAAAAATTATAATTAAAAAAATGCTGAATTAGAAGTCATTTTCAAAAGAGATCAGGCTTCATGTCGTTTAAGAATAAAACAGTCTCGACATTTTTTATGGGAAGAAATCTTTTATTGATATTTATCTATTTTTATCTCTAAAAGTGTAGAATTACGATACAATATGTGAGTAATTTTGATCACTTTATCTTCAACAACAACCAATATAAAAAAAATCTCTGGCAATTAGCAAAATTTAAGTGGATAGCACGTGATGTGCTGCTCCCAATAATAGCATTTATTTTGGTTATCTGTGTATAGAAACCACTCTGAAAATGTGCAAGCGTCGTCAGGTGTAAAACGTGTCTATCTTTAACAAAGCATGCAAAGGTAGCACATAGTCAGAGGTCCTGTGTCCACTCGTGGCCGTGAGACCGAAAGAAATTTGTCAGGGGTCCCAAGACCACGACTGAACTCATGAGAAGGTCCTCTGACATTGCAAGAATGTTTAATAGTTGTAAAATAATAATACGATAGTACCAATGACTTCAGTATACATGAGGCTGTACTTACAGAGTTTTGATATGCAGTAGCCATGTTATTTTAACACTTTGATTCATCAAAGTTCTATCAGCAGTTGGAATATTTAGAGCAAAATCGACACAGATTCCCATAAATGTGTCAGTGTATACAGCGGCATGAGACAATGAGTAATTAACCTTTGTTTAATAACAGAAATACCATAAATTCACACCATAGTATAGGCTAGACTGTTTAAAATGTTGTGACAATTTTTGCCAAAACAATGCCACCAATCGAGTCCATCCCACAGAATGAGCATATGTATATAAAGCACAATATATGTATAGTTATCCCACAAATTTGCTATATTATATAAGCCACCTGGCTAGAAGTGGATATACCTCTTAATGAACTGAACTAGGTAAGATCAAATGGACCTGTTTAAGAAAGATTAACCTATTTTGCATGCAATTTTTACTTTCAAGAAGCTGTAAATTTTACTGAAACCTTTCAAACTAATTTTCAAACAAAAGCTTTCATGCTGAAAATATTGAATAATACGCATAGGTAACCGCATACCAAATGTGAATTAATCAATGGATTTATGTATTTCATTTCAGTCAGTACTATAGAAATGCTTTTTACGTACCGATTTAGCGTGTTCGGAAAGTTGTCTGTTGTCTTCTTCATCCTTTCAGGTATGAAACATACTTCATCTTGACACTACATAGACTATGCAGTATAATTTATTCTGAAAAGATTTTTTTTTTCAAATTAAAAGTTACTTTTGATAATAGAAATCAATATTTTTCTTTCATAAAGTCTTAAGTACTGTTGAACATTTCTTAAATGATTCCTGTTTTCAGCAACTTTTTCTTTTAAATTGTTTAATTGAAGTGCAATTGTTATTCAAAAACTTGTGATGAATAAAATTAGTTTATGGTTTTCAATAAATGAAATAAAAATACAATAGATAAACACCTTATATCAGAATCCAGGTGTACGGGAGCTGACTGGTATACAGAGATATGTAATGCTGGGATGTGTTTTAATGGTGAGGCGGATTGTCTCCGTTCCTGTAATCAGATTTGTGGAGAAGAAAGGGGGCAGGGCGTCTGTACCTTTGACCCCTTTATTCGTGTTCACATTTGCTGGTGTGGTTACGACCAATCAGAAACAACAGCAACAACAAGTTCCACACCTTTACCTGCCCCTACACTGGCCACTCACAGTGCTACTCTCACGGGTGAGTCAACATTTGATAATGACATCAGTACCTACAATTTATTTCTCACGGTGTCTAAAAATAAAAATATAACAAAAATATTTTAATATGGTGAGCAATACAACAGTAAAGTAGGTTCGAAACTGCTATTTAAAAAGGAATACTTGTAATTTCTTGCATTCTAACGTATAATTGTTTAAATGCCTATAAGTTAACGTTACATGAAAGTTGTAAGCGCCGTAAATAAAATGAATTGTAAATATCATTAGTTTCAAAACATATTAGGGAAGCTTTAATGCGTCTTACTGTTGACAGAATCAGAGGATTGTGGGAGCTTACAATGTTTTGGTGACAGAGATACTTGTGACAGCTATTGTCTCATCCGGTGTCATCCCCAACTCTACTCGTGTGATTTGAGATGGCATGGTCGTTATAAATGCCTGTGTATTCAGGAGGTTGTTGTGCAAAGTTTACCTTGAAGTCATATAAAACCAGTATATACATAAACTTGTAATGATACATAATGTCTGTTTACCATTTGTTGAGTATAGTATCAAACCACGTTTCACTAAAATATAATTCATTTTAGATTTTGTGCACATGTTGAATAAAGATTGAAAATAAAGTCCTTGGGCTTTTAAGTATAAAATGTGTTGTCTTGGACTGAAATCAAGATATGAAGAGAAAGAAAACAAGATGTGTTTGTGAAACACTGATGCCCCCGTATGGTAACTTATAGCGAAGGTTAAACTTTCTCAAATGCAAATCAAATATGTTGGTACCCAAAGTAAGGTCTTGTACCGAGGAATATACCTGTGAAATATGAAAGCCCTAGCAGCAACCATTGAAAAGATATGGAAAAGGTTAAAGTTCTTCAAAAGTAAGTCAAACATCAAGGTCAAAGGGTCAAAGTTGTTGATATCCTTAGTAAGGTCTTGTCACAAGGATTGCATATGTGATGTATGAAAGCCCTAGAACGAACTGTTCAGAAGAAATGGCCAAGGTTAAAGTTTCTCAAATGCAAATCAAATATGTTGGTACCCAAGAAAGGCCTTCTCACAAGAAGTACACATGTGAAATATGAAAGCCCTAGCACCAACCGTTTAAAAGATATGGTCAAGGTTAAAGTTTTTCAAAAGTAGGGCAAACTCCAAAGTCACGGTCAAAGGGTCAAAGTTGTTGATATCCTAAGTAAGGTCTTGTCACAAGGATTGCATATGTGATGTATGAAAGCCCTAGAACGAACTGTTCAGAAGAAATGGCCAAGGTTAAAGTTTTCCAAAAGTAGGTCAAACTCCAAGATCAAGGTCAATGGGCTATAATTGTTGGTATCCAAAGGAAGGTCTTGTCAAAAGAATTACACATGTGAAGATTGAAAGCCCTAGCACTAACTGTTCAAAAAAATGGACAAGGTTAAAGTTTTTCGAAAGTAGGTCAAACTCCAAGGTCAAGGTCAAAGGGTCAACGTTGTTGGTATCCAAAGGAAGGTCTTGTCACAAGGATTACATATGTGAAAAAATGAAAACCCTAACAGCAACCGTTCAAAAGATATGGCCAATGTTAAAGTTTTTTCAAAAGTAGGTCAAACTCGTACATGTAGGTCAAGGTCAAAGGGTCAATGTTGTTGGTATCCAAAGGAAGGTCTTGACACAAGGATTACATATGTGAAAAAATGAAAGCCTTAGCATCAACCGTTCAAAAGTTATAGCCAATGTTAAAGTTTTTCAAAAGTAGGCCAAACTCCAAGGTCAAGGTCAAAGGGTCAAAGTTGTTGGTATCCAAAGAAAAGCCTTGTCACAAGGATTACACATTTGAAGTATGAAAGTCCTAGCACCAACTTCAAAAGTTATGGGCAGGGTTAAAGTTGGGGAAAATTTTGTAAAACTGGGTCAAACTCCGAGGTCAAAAGGTCAAATGATGGTACCCAAAGAAAGGTCTTGTCACAAGGAATACACGTGAAATATGAAAGCCTTAGCTCCAACCAATCAAAAGTTATGAGCAATGTTAAAGTTTTGCAGACAGACAGACAGACGGACGGACAGGGCAAAAACTATATACCCCCGAACCTTCGATACGGAGGCATAAAATCCCAGATATTTTTGGGTTTGTAGTTGTTGTTCCTGAAAATTGGATGATTAAGGATCAAACTAACGGAATCTTGTACAAGATCTATTGACACATCAGGAACTACCAAGCCGGTAGATGTTACTGGGGGTATAACATGATAAAATACAGATAAATAATACGGTAAAAAAAATCTAACGAAATTAAACAATCTTTATTCTCTTAATCAAATTTCAATTATTTTTTTTATACAAACTTGATTTCTGATTAAGCTAAGGAAACATTCAATCCCATTTTCTTGAAAACGTGGTTTATGAAGTCAAAATGTTCAGACGTTTTTTTCGAACACTCCAACTGGACATTAGCAAACGACATACAAAATGGATGTTGAAAAACATCTGGGTAATTCAGGTGCCCTAAAAATGGATCCAGACTTTGAATCTATTTAGCAAAGCGTAGGTCGTGTCAAGTTTCGTTGAGTAATCCAGATAGTTGAAAAACAACTTTTTTAAACAAAAGGCCCAAGGGCCTTAACGGGCACCTGAGTATAATGTAAACTAGCTTTAATTGATCTATAGATTGAATATAAATTAAAACTAAATAGACTGATAAATGAAGCTATGTTGTCCAAAAGCAAGAGAAATAGGATGATCAGGCATGAGCAAAATAATTAATTTAGTGCTAACAAAGAACGAGGGCGCTTTTGATTGGCATTCGGCAGGAATCTGGGCGCACTTGAAAAGTGAAAATTTCATTGACCTGTTACATGAAATTTTAGCATTCTTTTGACGTATCGGGTTCCTGTGAAATAGGAAAGGGAAATATTTTCCCGATATTTTATTTTGATTTGCTAAAAGAGAATTTGAAAATTGGCTAGATGAGTCATTTGATACAAATGTTACGTTTTCAAACAGGTTTTTCTAAAAATTTGCTACCTTTGGGTCATCTCTCCATGATTTTGAAACGTTACTTGTATGCATTTTAATGCAAAGAAACTAACAAACATTTGTAAAAAAAAAAAAAAATAAAAAAAAATAAAAAAAAAATAAAATGGAGAGAAGACCCAGAGACGATAAAAAATGAACTTTTTCCAAAAAAAATCTGATGTGTAAATGCGGTGCTTCATTGCCGCTTTAAAAACCATAAAGTGTGTAGCGGTGATAGCTCAGTAGTATGCGTTACCCGTCCAGTGCAATGAAAAAGAAATATTTTTAGTTCGATCCTCGCATATTTTTTTGCCGTACAAACAATCAATTCGTTTGTCTGTTTAATTTATGTACTGATTTATTTTTAAATAGATACATTCTGGTTCTGTTGCACCGAAAGCGAAAGCAATTCTTACAACCTACTGATACTTAGTTATATACATGTATATACATGTAATTGCATTTAACTATACGCTATAGGTGTTTATTATTTATGTCAAGCGTTACTAAGTTTTACATGTAGTAATTATTGAGATAAGTGGACTGATATATTAATTTGACAAAGTATTTCAAGCTAAATGTAACATTTTTCCATGTGCGTGTTGTAGAGTATGTCCAGCTGTGGTCAGCCGACCAAATCGTAGACATTTAAACTATAAATGTTTCGTACGCTTTATTCCTGCAGATCACACGCCGAACACGCCCATCTTCTTTAAAGTTGTTCTATCTGTTAGCCTGTACTTTCTCCCATTTGTCACTATCCCAGTGCAGGTTCAACAAAGCAATAGTTCTTTAGCAGTTTTAGTATATTTTTCACATTGGCCTCTCTTAACCTTTAAAGAACATTTAATGTATAAAGATAAGGTATTTTGTCCTGTTTTTTTTATTATCTATTATTCAAAAACCTACTTGACCATTAAAAGGTTATTCAATTGTCCTTTCAATTACATTATTTACAGTGATTAATTATCAAACTTGAATAGCAAAGGGGAATGACTTCTTTCAGAAGTATAAATTAATATTAATAAATTGACCAAGTGATCCAGAATTTCAAAAATCTGGTAAAAATTCCCTTGCTTATTACAACATTATGTACGCTGTTTGCCTCCTAGATTCCAAGGAGCAGAGAAGATTTGCTAGAACTAATGCATTTCCCTATTGATTCAACAAAGCCACACAATAACACTACAGCTCCTGACCTAGGGGGCAAGAAATTCACAATTTTTGGAAGGCTCACCCTTGCTCATTATAACCATGCACTGAGTATGATTTCTAAATACCCATGGGCAGAGAAGATTTTCAAAGAAATGATGCATTTTCACTTTTATTTGTAAGCGCCACACCCTAACACCACTGAAAACTCCTAACTCAGGGGTTATGAATTTCATACTTTATGAAAAGAAATCCTTGCTCATCATACTCATGCAATTAGCTTTTCTGCTAAATACCCAGGGACAGAGAAGAAGATTTTCAAAGAAATAATGCATTTTTCACTATATATTCACCCCCCCCCCCCCCCCCGAACCCCTGACTCTGAGGCCACAAATTCACAACTTTGGAAGAGGCATCCTTGCATGCTTATCATAACCATGAACTTAGTTTATCTGCTTAATACCTAGAAGTAGAGAAGATTTTAAAAGAATTAATGCAATTTGTAATTTTAAGAAATATCATAATCATGGCTAGAACCTCGTGTAAGTTTATGATGTTCAAACAAGTTACTATTTAAAAAAAAAAAAAAAAATTCATATTTGCAAGATTTTAATATGTTTTAATTATCGGTAATTTCAAATGGATCATTGACATCCTTCAACATTTTAAATAATCTCTCTCTCGTAATTTCCTTTTTTTTTTGTAGTAGTCCTTGAAACAATCTCTTTATTTTCAAAACACTTGCAGATGGTTTTCTTTTTTTTTTTTTTTAAATCAACAACTCATAAAAGTGTACACATATAATAATAATGCGGTTATAGTATAAATGACATCAAATATTTTTATGTACTACAGCGTAAATATAATAAAATGTAACTTTTGGTTTAAATTAGTGGAAATATTCTGTAAAATATCTGTTTCATTTTAGTGAATTATGCAACCTGGATAGGGCCATGTAGTTCACTGTCGCATCATCGCACCATCGAGGTTTGGGTCGATAGTTCTATGACGATGAAGCAATGGTCAGATAACGATGAAGCGATTACGATGATGGAATGGCGTGACAGTGCGATGACGCGATAGCGAGATTAAGCGATAGTGCAATGACGCGATAACGATGACACGATGGTGCGATAACGACGGCGCGATGGCATGATGTTAACTATCGCTCCATTGTGCTATCGCACCATCGTCATCGCGAATTGTCACGCCATCGCATCATCTTCATTGCGTTATCGCTTCATTGTCATCACACCATCGCTTAATGACCTTATTTGTTATTTCTTACATATGAAGTAAATTTAGCAAAGTGCACTTATTCCATTTTAACCATATATTCCTTCTTATGGGTATGAAGCTGCATTTTCAAAATACATTGTTAACTGTATAATAATTGTAACAAAAATTTGACTTGCATAAATCTCTCTGTTACTCCCCAGTTAATCATGTGTGGTTTGTTAAATCATCATATCAAGATGAGTAGTTTAATTTAAGCATTGTGGTGTTGTGTATTCTTAAGCATTATTTCTCTCTCCCAAAGAAACCCTTTGTGTCCACAGTGCTGAAGCCTCTGTATCCATGGCAATCGGCATTTCCTGGGAGACCTTGCGTCCCTTCAATTTCTGAGTGCTCTTGCCACTGCCTATAGCTAATTGCTGCTTTAGTCAATATGATGGACTGACACTCATGGCATTTAATGTCATAGGTCACAAAATGTACCAGTTGTAAACAAAGTCTGCTTACAATTAGGAATTTGTTGCTGCTGGTGACAATACAAGTATATACTGCAACAATCTGTGTGGAAAACAAAGGCAAAGAGGGAAATCCATCTTTATAAGTCAATTTCAACTCTACATATTTAAAGATGTCATAATGAAATGAATATTTCATCATGTATCTTGATGTCTTGAATTTTTTTTCCATATTACTTCTGAAGTATAACTAGTAAGTTAAAAGGTCAATATCTCCACAATTATCATCCAGAGAGTAGTGCATCCTGTCCAACAATAATCTCATCAACAGTCATGTGCAGACCCTCAATCAATCCATCATTGGTACAGCACAATACCAAACATCTTTAATGATAAGGGCTTTAAAATGATTCAAACAGTATTACTTCAATAATGGTTTATTATAACAACTAATAAACAAAGCAATAGACATGTAACAGAATGGGCAAATTTTTTTGCTATAATTTTTTAAATTCTGTCTTGGAGTTGGCACCAAATGCGTCTTGGAATTGGCACCAAATTATCTAAATGTTTAGAATTTGAATAATTTGAAGAGGTATAAAGCACGCCTTTAATAGTGGCCCCTCCCCCTGCCACGCCCACTTCCTGGCCGACCTCTACCTCGACCTCCTCCACCACCTGTAATAAAGTGTAGGTCTTTATTTAAACAATAACATAGGTAATAAGAGATTACAGAGCTCACCTCAACAATTGTTGTCTTTAAGGTGAAGTCCCACACTAAACTAATAATCTAGTAATGTGCATCCCTAGATGGAACATTTAAGCAATTTTGGTCTGATACAGCTTGCAGTTACTTGGGAATGGACTTTTCTAAAAACTTTAAACTAGTCGCTCATTCAGAAAATGTAAGTCAAATCCAGCATCTGAAGCAAGTTTGAGAGTGTTCGTCCCTTGATGCATCATCCATGGAAGTTTGGTTCAGATAGGCCTTATAGTTTCTTTGCAATGGACCTATTCCCAAAAACTTTAACCTGGTCACTCATCCAGAAAATGTAGGTCAGATCCAGCATCTGAAGCAAGTCCAGTAGTGTGCATCCTCAGATGTATCATGCATGCAAGATAAGTCAACATAGGACTTACATTTACTTGGAAATGAGATCTGCTCCAAAAACACTAACCTGGTCACTCATCTGGAAAATGCAGGTCAGATCCAACATCTGAAGCAAGTCCAGCAGTGTGTATCCTTAGATGTATCATCCATGCAAGTTTGGTCAATATATGGCTTATAGTGTCTTGGAAATGAAACTTCAACCTGGTCACTCATCCGGAAATTGTAGGTCAGAATCAGCATCCGTAGCAAGTCCAGTAGTGTGCATCCTTAGATGTATCATCCATGCAAGTTTGGTTCATATAGGACTTGGCTCTAAATTCGCTCTTGAGTACATCTTGACCTATGATTTTAACAAGAGGAATATAAAATAAATTATTTAAAAAATTGAAATAAGAAATGTATTGAAAAGTATAATGCAAATATATAAAAAAGATAAAATTAGCAGATTTTTTCATCAACTTACTTTTTTTTCTTGAAATGAATTTGATAATTCCACTAGAATTACGCATGTGTAGGGGGACATTTTCAACCATGTCAAAATAAAAGTCAAATATACGGCGATAATACCTTGTACACAGAATATCTTTATTCACTACTGTTTAGGAAGGATAAAATTAACATACAAAAGTATTTTAATGCACATTATGTCTGAAATAAAGGAAAAATTGGAATTTATTTCTTCTCATATTTTGAACGTAACGTCTGTCAGACTCAATACACCGGGTACATTGTTATAAAATGGGCCATTGTTTATGCAAACTATTTTATCTTTCTTGTCTACTGATAGAAAATTTACCTGTTTATCAAATAAGTGATCGCAGATTCAACAGAAAAGCACGTGTGCTTAGAAATTAACAAATCTGTGGGATGCTTCCGGTGTCTGTCATGGCAAGTGGGCGTTACGTTCTATTTTAAGAATGGAGCTTGGAGATGCTTCTTCTTATACATTTGACTTAAAGGTTATGAATATTAAAATTTTCTCCAGTGTTCTATGCAAATGTGTTTACATTTCGATAAGAAGAGCAACAGAGAGGGCCCGAGAAGCCGCGAACGTTTGTCTGTCAAGTGTTACGTTACACGAAGTATGTTACGTTCATGAAAATATAACTTGTCTTTATCCTAGATTTTAACACATATCATCAAATATTGTCAGCTAGTAGGTGTATTTTGGATTTTTTTTTTTAAATATGAACTTGCACGCTCTTCATCACTACATAGACACTTAAAATTTGACATTTCTTACATAACGTACCGATTGACAGACATTGCCTGAATACTATCGTAATGGTGACGGACAAAACGAATGTCTGTTCATGTTACGTGAATCAAACGGGTGCATTCAGATTTATACGTTCAGTGAATTAAACCAAAAAAGTATTTTTATTTAAGAATATTAGTGTATCATAAGGCAAAATTTGTCTTTAAAACTTAAACAATACAATTTTGTAGTTGTTTTCTTGCAGTTTTTAAAACGAGTCTGTCAGGGTTACGTGCATCCGTACATGTTACGATATAGGTTTGATCTATATGAAATAATTTATATTTTTTAAATTTCATTAGTATTTTCATAAAAAATGATGTCTTGTGTATTATAAATTCCTAGAATAAAAGATAAGCTTTGAATGATAAATTTTATTGGCTCGTTTCAAACAGGTATTGCTCAAGAAATATCGTAACATGACAGACATGGTGGAAATTTTGTATGTTACAAAGCGTATAGCAGAGATTTATTTTTTAAAAATTCAAATTTAAAATCTATAAGGAATCAAAATTTGAATAATGTCCATTTCTTATGGCAACATTATCTTTTTGATAAAATAATGAAAGTTTATGGTTTATTTGGCTGGCTAAGTAAAGGAGTCTGTCAGTGTTACGATCATCAGTTTGTGCATCAAAAGTAGCTTCAAAATCTTTTTTCTTATATGTAAGAGTGAAAAAAAAATTTGCATTGTTTAAGAAATTGTTTAATTTTATTTTTTACGGATTATTTGTACTGCTATGCATCAGAAATGTAATTTAATCATGTCACGTTTTATCATACGTCTGTCATGTTACGATATATGTCTGTCATTTGTTACGTGACAAATATTTTAAACATTAATAAAATATTTATTTTTGACTTGATTATCTATTCAAACATTTTTTTGTCCTATTTAGAGTCAAAACTTCAAATACACATAAAGAAATCTAAGAAAAAAACGTGTCTTCAGAATTTTTTATTTGTCCTCCCAGATGTACTCAAGAGCGAATTTAGAGCCACTTACACTTACTTGGAAATGAGATCTGCTTCAAAAACTTTATCCTGGTCACTAATCTGAAAAATGTAGGTCAGATCCAGCATCCAAAGCAAGTCCAGTAGAGTGCATCCTTTGATGTATCCCCACGCAAGTTTGGTCAATATAGGGCTTATAATTACTTGGAAATGAGATCTGCTTCAAAAACTTTATCCTGGTCACTAATCTGAAAAATGTAGGTCAGATCCAGCATCCAAAGCAAGTCCAGTAGAGCGCATCCTTTGATGTATCCCCACGCAAGTTTGGTCAATATAGGGCTTATAATTACTTGGAAATGAGATCTGCTCCAAAAACTTTATCCTAGTCACTCATCCTGAAATTGTAGGTCAGATTCAGCATCTGTAGCAAGTCCAGTAGAGTGCATTACTACAGTAGTGTATGGATGATTGTTGATGAGACTGTGACAAAAGATCACTTTGATATTCTTTCACACTGTGATAAAATATCACTTTTATTTAATAAAATTTCAGTATTTCCCTGTTGAAAATGTAATAAAAAGTATTCTTCTTCTAAAATGTTTTACACCTACCATTTGCAGACCACCAGGAATCTTCTATATGCATATAAATTTATTGATATAGTAACTCAACATTAATCTGTCCGTTTATGTAGGTAGATGTTTAGCTTTTTCTTATAGCAAATGAAAAATTAAAAAAAATGAACACTCACAATGTTCTAAGTATTTACATGTATATCCCTATTTCCTTGGAGTGTGAGTTTGCTGAGAATTAGACTGATAAATGAAACCTATGTCAGTCTCATTTCTGCTAACGGTTTTTTTCATAAAGAAAACACAACATTGTACACATTAATAGCAGAATTAAAATCTTTCTGTAAGTAAAACTTATTTGAGAAACAAGTTAAGAACCCTCTATACACTGCACACTAAAGAGTTCTGATTTTGTGATACATGTATTTTTAATAAATCAGAGCAATCTGCCCTTTGATCTAAAATGGAATAATTGAAATCTACATTGAATACTCAATTTGTAGTCAATTCAAGCATTCTTAACATTTTGAAAGGCCAAGATAAATCAACTGAACACTTTATTTGGATGTATTTTCCCCACTTAAATTAACAACAGTGATATCTGTTCATCAATACTCCATTGTCTTTGAACATTTTTCCTGGGGGTAAATGCCATGTACCCTACGCTGGAAATTACATATAAAAAAAAAATATTTACACTTTATAATATAATTTTCTCAATGTCCAAAAAACATTTTACTTAAGTGTATAGAGTGTCTTTAAACCAAACTCTTTCATAAGATTTTTTTGTAGTGCTCGTCTCGCCCTACATGTATTTTACTGGATAAAGTGCAAGTTTAGACATTTGCTTAAAATTTATTGGTCGATTTGGAGAGATGAGCCTCCAAATTGAAGAAGTTGTATCCGTTTTATGTTGATTGAACGTGTGTTGACGACTGACAGACACACCAATATTTAGGATATAAATTAATGCTTTAGATTCCAGATACAGGTGCTGAAGTGGGTGGGGGTATTTTTTTCCAAGACGAGAGCTTTTGTCCCTCGTAGAGTTTATGTATATAGGTGTGGTACGTTTTTTTTAAAAACATTGTATTTCTTGTCTGAAAGTTCAGAATCTTTATTGTAAGAACTTTTGAAGTGTATTTAAAGTACATTAAAAATTTTATTAATTTATTTTAGATTTAACAATCCAGAAGACAAGCCCCCTATGTACACAACAATACAAGGAACCCTTTTGTGTACATTACAATACCAATTGAAGGAGCCTATATGCCATTCCTATAAACAATAACTCCTAAATCAGCAATTTGTTGAATGTTTTTTCACACTTGAGTTATCCGTCCTTAATGTGAAACTTGAAAAATTAGTTGAAAGGCCCATATATTACATGCCCTAATTTTTTTAATTTCTTACCTTGGTATCCCCCATTTTGATATCCACCTTGATTGCCACCACCTTGGTACCCTCCTCCCTGGTACCCTCCTTGATAACCCCCATCCTGGTAATGATCCCTCCCTCTGCCTCCTCCCCCTCCATATCCTCCCCCTCCCTGATTCCAGTTCCCTCCATAGCTCTGTTGTTGTTTATCCCCCCAGCCACCCTGGACTTTCCCACCTCTGTCATGTTGTCTACCTCCGCCTCGACCACCTCTGCCAGCTAATGGAAGGAAAATTGTATTACAAGTCAATTGTTTAGGAAAACAATGTTAATCAATAAAAAATAACTGTGAAATCACAAATTTTCGTTATTTTTGCAGTATGGCCAGACCAACAAAGTCTCACCCTCTACCAAATGTAAAATAACTCAACACTTCTTCATGCATGAAATCAATCGCCACGAACCAACATTTTTTCCTTCAAACCACGAAAATTTTACCCCATGAAAATATGTGATTGTACAGTATATTCTGTGTGTCATAACAATGATATCGCATCAATAATCAAAATTTAGAAATATTCCAAAATATACAATGAACTTCAAATTGATTTCCTATTGTCTTAAGTATCAAAGTACAAAATAGTATAAAACAAGCTTAAAATTTTCTACAAAATCAAGCCATCTACTAACACTGTGGTCTTTGACCTTGGGGTTGATCCACTCGCTTCATGAAGGATGGCATTTCTGGAGGGGGTGGTTCCTGCTCCCACACTCTCCCTCCCCTGTCTGGTACCTGTTAATAAGAGGTTTATATATCTTAATGGTCACTTAAGTATCTTGAGTTTCTCAACATACCATATGACCAACTTAGCTTTATCTACCTGAATTTCAATTTTTTTTTTTTGGTAAAGAACACATTTTGCAGTTTGATTGTCTTCATGAGTAAAGAATTTTTACTGATGTTATTCATTTTCAATATTTGACTAATTTAGCTTTAGCCTAATATCTGAAATTAGGGAATCTGAATTGGTTGAGAATTAAATGCTTATTATAATCATGCACACAGTTTGCCTGCTAGATGTTCAGAAGTGGAGATTTCAGCAAGATGTGTTTGTGAAACACTGATGCCCCCGTATGGTAGCTTATGGCGAAGGTTAAAGTTTCTTCAAATGCAACTCAAAATCCAGGCCAAAAGATAAGAAATGTTGATACCCAAAGAAAGGTCTTGTCTCGAGGAATACACCTGTGAAATTTGAAAGACCTAGATACAACTGTTCAAAAGTTATGGCGAAGGTTAAAGTTTTTTAAATAAAAGTCAAACGTCAAGGTCAAAGTGGTTGGTGTCCAAAGGAAGATCTTGTCACAAGGATTACATTTGTGAAGTATGAAAGCCCTAGCACCAACCATTTAAAAGTAATGGCCAAGTTTAAAGTTTTTCAAAAGTAGGTCAAACTCCTAGGTCAAGGTCAAAGAGTCAAAGTGGTTGGTACCCAAAGGAAGGTCTTGTCACAAGGATTACATATGTGAAGTATGAAAGCCCTAGCATCAACCATTCAAAAGTTATGGCCAAGGTTAAAGTTTTTCAAAAGTAGGTCAAACTCCTAGGTCAAGGTCATAAGGTCAAAGTGGTGGTTGATATCCAAAGGAAGGTCTTGTCGCAAGGATTACATATGTGAAGTATGAAAGCCCTAGCTCAAACCATTCAAAAGTTATGGCCAAGGTTAAAGTTTTTCAAAAGTAGGTCAAACTCCTAGGTCAAGGTCAAAGGGTCAAAGTGGTTGATATCCAGAGGAAGGTCTTGTCACAAGGAATACACATGTGAAGTTTGAAACCCTAAGCACCAACTGTTCAAAAGTTATGGCCAAGGTTAAAGTTTTTCAAAAGTAGGTCAAACTCCAAGGTCAAGGTCAAAAGGTCAAAGTTGTTGGTATCCAAAGGAAGGCCTTGTCACAAAGAATACACATGTGAAGTTTGAAACCCCAAGCACCAACTGTTCAGAAGTTATGGCCAAGGTTAGAGTCTCATAAAATTTTGCAAAAGTAGGTCAAACTCCAAGGTCAAGGTCAAAAGGTCAAATATGATGGTACCCAAAGAAAGGTCTTGTCACAAGGAATACACATGTGAAATATGAAAGTCATAGCTCCAACCAATCAAAAGTTATGGGCAAGGTTAAAGTTGACAACAGACAGACAGACAAACAGACAAACGGACAAACAGACAAACGGACAAACAGATAAACAGACAAACAGATAAACAGACAAACAGACAGACAGGACAAAAACAATATACCCCCGGGATCTTTCGATCCGGGGGCATAAAAAGATATGGTGCATTTTAATATGTTGTAACGGGTGAGGAGAAAAATGTGACGGACCAGACCAGGATTCAAACCCGGGCCCCCTGATTCTCAAGTCAGGTGCTCTACCACCTGAGCTATCTGGCCACCGGCAACCGAGCCCATCTGACCGCCACATTCATACCTCCTTAAAGGTCTTTGGCCCCCGAAGACACCAACCCAGGCTCTTCCCTGGCAGGTCTTTCACCTGTCACTTCCAGGGCATGGCATTGCATCAAATGTCATGGGAGAGGAGAAAAATCCAACATACCAGATCAGGATTCAAACCCGTGCCCCTGAATCTCCAGTCAGGTGCTCTACCAACTGAGCTATCTGGCCACCGGCCATCGGACCCGTCAGACCACTACAATTTAACAACCTGGCCTGACTGGAACCTGAACAGACTCAGGGGTCATAAATTTGAAATTATGGTAGATGGTTATTTTTAAAATATCTCATTATTTAGAAAAGGTTATTATTGAATACAGGTAGCACAAGGGTTCTTGTTCAACATCACCACCATCACCAAAGTCTAAAATGCTGACCTCAAGCCATCACACATTGAGGACTGGTTTCCTCAAGTGGTGGATACTATGTACAAATATGAGTGTTTCAAAAGCAAATTGCTACATATCTATATAAATTATTTGTTGTTTCTACCCCTTGAAAAGGGGCACCAACAAGTCAAAGGGTCAAACTGGCAATAGAAAAAATACTCAATATCTTGAGAACCCTAAGCTTGAGACATCAAACTTTGTACACTGGTGCCCCCTGAAGAGTAAATGACCCCTATTGATTTTGAGGTGTAAGAGTTAAAGGTCAAGGGTCAAACGAAATAGAAATATATTGACAATTCAATATATTGAGAGCCCTTTGTTTGAGAGACATCACACTTGGTATACTGGTTCTTTTTAAGGAGTAAATGACCACTATTGATTTTAAGATCACAATTTTAATACTGAGTAATCAAAGGGTCATCTATACATAAGAAGTTAATGACTGCTCAGTATCTCAAGAACCCTTTGCTTGACAGGCATGAAACTTAGTACAAATGTTCCCCCTATATAGATGACCACTGTAGTTTTTGAGCTCATAAGGTCAGAGATCAAGGTCAAACTACATGTATTCTGAAACATATTAAAATATTGTCTGTTCAGTATCTTAAATAACCTTTGCTTGACAGGCATCAAATATGGTAAATTGGTTTCCCTGAAGGTTAAGATGATTTTTAGGTAACAGGGTCAAAGGTAATGGACACAAGTTCAGTATCTTGAGAACCCTTTGCTTGACAGACATCAAACTTTGTGCACTGGTTCTACATAAGGAGTAGATGACCCCTATTGCTTATGGTCACAAGGTCAAGGTCAAACTGAACATTAAAAAGATACTGACCACTCAATATCTTGAGAACACATTGCTAGACAAACTTTGTAAACTAGTTTCCCCTAAGAGGTAATTGACCAGTGTAGATTTTGAGCTGACAGTCAAGGGTCAAGGGTCACACTACTCTAGACATAGGAAGATATTGTCTGCTCCATACTTTGAGAATGATTTGTTTGGCAGACATCAAACTTGGTGTATTGGTTTTCCTTAAGGAGTGTGCCCCTATTGATTTTGTAGGTCAAACAACATAGATACTACTGGTAAACATAGGGAGATATTGATTGATTACGATATATGCAGAATTTTTAGCAAGGATTCAATTTTGGCATTATTAGCGAGGGTTTTGAGATCGGTAAAATTGAATACCACTAACAATTTAACATGTATCGGTTATTATAGATTTCTTTCTTGACATTATAAAATCACTAAAATTACTTCTCGCTAAAAATATATACCAATATTTTGGGCTAAATTTGGGTCTCACTAAAAATTCAACTTATACAGTAATAAGAACCCTCTGCTTGACAGACATCAACCTTGGTACACTAGATGTCCAGTTGATTTTGCAGTAACAAGGTCAAGGATCATTACACACATTATAAATTTAAAGTTGTTCCCTTTTTAATATTGCCACATGAGAGGCATATATGTTCTCAAATATATCTTGTTTGCCATGTTTTCTTACAACAATTTTTCACAAAAGATTTCAATTTTTCTTTTCTAACATTCTTTCATTATTAAATTGATATTTCATTTTATGTTTATAGATTGTAAAGCAAATAAATATTATTTAGAATATTTTTTTCCTGATAATTCACTGTAAAAACTAACATACCCATAATATGTTTCCAGGAAACATCAAATTTTAAAAATATACTCATTTTTCTCCACAAAAAATTATCTGTGATTACACAGGAGAATAGAAGATGTACACTATCTTCTAATACATTGCATATCTCACATATTGGTGACATATCTTTGTTCCATAGGAGTCCAAGATTTAAGAAGAAAGTTTTGAATACTCTTAGAATATTGAGAGTTTTCAACCAATGCTAAGGTCCAATGTTGGTGGGGACCATGAAATGCACAATTTTTGTGGCCCTTCATCCATGAAAGCTATACATGAAATTTGATTGAATTGCTTCAGAGAGATAACGAAGAGGAGGTGGAAGCCTTGTCCTGGAACCCTCAAGGAAAATGCAACAGGGGTAGGCCAAGAAACAACTGGTGGAGACCTGGAGGCAGACACCAAAAGAATTGGATAAACTTGGTAAGAACTGGAAAACATTGCTCAGGATAGAGGGGCCTGGAGAAATCTTGCAGGCAGCCTATGTCCCAGAAGGGATAGTAGACATAAGTAATTTCAGAGAAGGCTGAAAATGTTCAAAGTTTATGAATGACACACAGTGAAATGAATAACTATAGGTCAGCTTGTTGACTCCAGTGACAAAATAAAATCGATGATAAAAAATATCATATTTTGTATTTAAAAGCTTTTTTTACTAAAACAAAATGATTTACCTTAGGAATTTTCACTTTGTTTATTGCACACTTCATTCTGGCCTCACCACTACTTGTCTTTTGTAAATAGGTTAAATCTAAAAACATTGAATACTTGTATTTAAATAAAAGAATTGTTATTATACTGCAAATACATGTAGAGAAGATTAAATCTAGTGATTTAACCAACCTTCCCTTGCAGCTAAGATATCTGCCACAGTTATATCACATGACGCCTTTAGTTGCTTTCTGATGGGGTGGAATACAGCAGCTATCTCATTTTCTTTTTTCTAGACATCAAAATATACACATTTTTTTTAACTCTTCTAAAGAAGTATTACAGAATTTGTCTCTGGCCTGTCAGAAAAGGATAAATAAAGAGAAAAAAGAAACTGATGTTTAACTTGTGTATCAACATCACAAGTTGATGATCAACACCCCCTTCCCCCCCCCCCCCCCCCCCCAAATGTATTGTTATCTGAAGTGTAAAAGATTTGCATGACTACTTTTCCCATATTGATTTTACAGTGTCTTGAAGAAAACTTGTCAAATTCATCATCAGCAGTCCCTCATACCTTGTGAAACATCCCAACCCCCATCCTTCAACTGAAACATTTTTTTTCTAAGTAAACATTACCTTTGCCGCCTCTGACCACATGAAGGACTGTATAGTGACGTCCAAACGTTTGAGGATCATTTCACGCCTTGTGGTGTACTCTCTGACCAGGCTGTCATTGATTTTCATAATCTGCTCCCACTGTTTGTCTGACAGACGAGCCTTTAACAGAGGCTTACTAATTACCCCGGGGTTCTTAGACATTAGTTCATTCACCTGTTAAATAATTAACAAATAAATGGTAAAACTTATACATCTGAAATAAATCTACTCTTTGATTTACTTAATCTTATTCAAAGTCAAGGATTTTTTTTTGTTTAATTCTTTTGAAGATTTTTTTATGCATAAATTGAATATATTTAAGTCCAAAAAATATGAATCAAGATTGAAACAAACTGATGTTTTTAAAAATGAATTTCATAAATTTCAAAATTCAGATTTGGTTAATACATAAGAACAATATGTTTTATTTCACATAATAAATAGATTGAGTGTTAATTAACCTTTGTTTCCACTTTACTGAAGAGCTGGAAAGCTGTGATGTTTGCTGGAGGCTTTGGGAATCCTAGAGCTATCAACATGATCTTCAGATGCTTTGCAATGTCCGACTCACTCTGCATTAATAAAAAGACAAAATTGTTTTTGTCCTCTAGCAATATAAAAAAACCCAATTATTTGCAAAAAAAGGGAATTATATTTCTCTAGGATGCCAACCACTAACAAAACGTTGAAGAATACTTGCTATCCTGAGAATCAATCAATATTAACTTACTGCTTCAGGTTCAGTTTCTGATGTTGCCGACTTTAACTCTTGGGGTTTTCTTACTGCCAGGATATGAGCTGTCTCTAGCTCTGAAGTCAAGTAGTCTGTAGCAATTAAACAAAATGAAATTCATGAAAGAACTCTCATTAATAGAAGCAAATGTCTATAGAGGCAAGTCTTATTTATTCTTTTGTCTCCACCTTTGTTTTTTTGAAAGTGTGATCATTTCCTTGCATAAAACCAACACTGGCAAAATTTAAAACTGCCGCCAAATTTTCAGTAAGAAATATACACATCATTAAGCATAAAATTACAAGCAAACAAATTAAATTATATTAAAATAGAGACCCCCACCCTTGTGCATCTACCAAAAATGTAAATATCAATAATCAAACTGATATTACATTTTAAAGCCAAAAAAGAAATCCTTACACTAGCTGTTCTGATTTACATTTATCAATATTCAATATTCTTAAGTTCAGAAATTATATTTTTCATCTGATTGCTTGCTTGAAATATTTTTTAAAAAAAGAAAAGACATTATCTTGTGTATCTGGCCTACCTAACAATTGCAGGGCACTATCCTTATTGTTCAGCCTTTGTGTGACAGGTCCTCCTTCATACAGGTGTTTATATGGACAATCTACAGTCAGAAATCCTCAGATAAATGTTTTGTTTTACAAAAACACCATGATAATGTATGTAGCTTAACCAGCAAAACAAAATTCTGGTTGGCTTGTAAGCCCTACATAGAAACTGCTGGGTAGGGCTGAAAAAAATTGAGTTTTAAGAATTTCCAATAAAAAAAGTCATTATTATTCTTAAATATTGGAACTTAGGCTGGCAGTTTTACCAAGGAGTTTGATACAATGGCTTACAAATTATGTTACTATTATTACTTCAATATAATTATAAGACTACATCTTCCAAACTTTTGTAAAACATTCTGACCATGCATTTTTGATGATTCTAAAGTGCTTGATACAATCCTCCCATAGATAATGCACCACTCTTCTTCTCCATAATTATATAATCTACAGGTACATGTATATACATGAAACCTCTTCCCTAAACATACAAGTAATAACATTACAAAGACTTACTTAATTCCCTTAGAAAACCACTGAGTTCCATTACAAAATTGGCAACATCATCAGGGGCTGTAATAACAGAAAATCAAAATAATTTTTTGTAATCAATGTACAACAGTGATATGTGCCTGAATGGAATCTCACACAACTATTTTGGACTTGTGTCATGTGCACATATTCAATGAAACAAGTTAAAAATAAGTAAAACTCTCAAATTTTTTACAACACCCCCCCCCCCCTCCACACACACAAAATTAGCCTGGTATCTCCTTTTTCACAAAATGAAACTTGAGAAAATTATCTAATTCTAAATAAAAATACATTGACACCACATATTCACTTTAATGAATTATCATTTCAATTACAGGAAAGAAAAATTATACCAATACTGAAAAATTATATTAATGACATTAGTTACACGTAAGGGTATATTAAACAGCTGATCTTACAGTGAGTTGCATGGATGCTTTCCTCCAAACCATAGAAGCTCTTTAGTCTGTCTGTTAGCCATGATACCAGCTGAGTGAACTCTGTAGATGCAGGGCCCTGATTTACAGCTTCAGATAAAGCAGATGGATCTAGAAGGGGTCCAGTGTACCTACAATGCAAAAACTCAAATATGTAGAACAAACTGCCTGGACCCAGGAGTAATATCTAGCACAGCAAGCAGTGTAGAGCACAGAGTTGAAGGACACAAAAAAATAATTTCATCTACTGTTAAAGAAATAAAGTTCCCATTTTTGTGAATGTTGCAGGATAACCTCCAATGTTGAAAAATGTTTTGAAATATAAAATCCTAGGCGTTACCCTTTTAGAGGCTATTATATTTCATATAACATTTTGAGATTGAGGAGGTTATCCTGCATCATTCATGACTTTCCCTAAAATTGGTAATATTTAAGCAGGCTATAAATAATAAATGTCCATTTTTAAAAAAAAATTGATAAATTTGCAAGTCACAAAATAACCTGTTAAATGTTGTGAGACATGCACAGAATTTTTTTTAACATAACGTTACATGTATTAAAAATTTTTATGGTGTAGGGAGAGTCGAGTCCTTTCCAGATCTAAGTATTTTGTTTAATGTATTTATTTACTAGTATATATTTTTTCTACTTATAATTTTTCTTATGTATATCAACCCTGAATGTTTCAAAATATTGGGGGGAGAAACATATCATCAAACTGCGAGATACACATATTACGTTCAATCTAGGATCAAGCAATGTGAATCAATGAATAGCGACGGAAAAGCAACGGGCGATAACTCTAATATTTGCTAAACTATTGTTGCCAAATAAAATAATTGATCGGGTGGGCGTGTGTTACGGACTGATACAATAAGATGACGATATGTACAATCACAAAAGTTTTTTGGAAACCTTCGTGAGGTATTACTGCAAGTGTATATGGGTAAAAATAAATAAATCACATCATTTTAGCGGTAAAAAAATAATAATGAAATATTCGTTTCAAGAGAAAAAATTGAATTTCAGAATATACACCTTAAAAACCTGATTTTTATAAAATAAAAACGTGTTTTCTATGAGAATTTAATCTAAAAATAATTCTAAATCCTTGTACTTAACACCAAATCACGTTCAATCACATGGACTATTTTTGCCTGACAGGGTTATTTGCCCTTTGCTTTGTATTAAACGTGTGACGGGTGTGTAGGATTTTAGTAAATTGCGAAGGGCCAGAGGTCATAAAATCATGTAAATATCTTGTTTAAATAATTTAGTTTGTTTTGATTTTGTAGTTTGTTTTGAATTTGTAAGGTGAAAGTGTAATGATGCACGACAACGAGACCAATATGAGTGTCATATTCAACGTGACATGTCTGTGTCTGGTTTTCCAAAGTAAAAATGATTGTTTCAAAAATTAGAGAAAGTTTATTCTAAATACATCAATTAACACAAAGAAATGATAATTTACATCATTGCACCCCCACCCCCAAGCCAACTCGCCAATCAGCTGATTACTAGATCAATTTGTTTTACGTCATTAAAAAAAAAAAACTTTCAACAATACCTGTCCTCAAATTAAATTTAGAAAATGACAAGAGAAACAAGAAGAACTTTGTACATCATGATCACATGTTACTGAGAGAAACTATGGTACGTGTAATGTACGAGTGAATTGAGAAAGAATAATTATTGTTGAAAATGAACATGATGAATAATCCAAAATATAAATTTATGGGTGACCATGAACATAATGAATATTACAAAATATAAATTTATGGGTGACAGTAAACATATCCTCATTTTTTGCCTCATGCAATATTCTTTGAAAATTATGATGTATAGCCAGTTAAGCTTTTTTGTTACTTTCTAATACTAAAATAAAATGTGTGCGAGTTTGATGTGCATGTGGAAAATGTGGATGTTACACTTGTTATTCTTTAACTTATATTTTACTTGCTGAGGCTTTCAGATTTGATTACACAATTTCTGATCATAATATTAAGTTTAATAACTTTAAGCCTATTCTTTTTCATTATCAAAGTTATCATCATCCTTGAAAATAATCTTTTTTCACCCTAGTAAGAATTTTTTCATACATTTTTATTGTATATATTGTAGTTCGTTCTTTTTGCCAAGGGGGGGGGGGGGTATAAAAATTTTTATTTTTTAGCCAATTCTGATCAAAGAACTCTAGCTGGAGAAATATCATGTTTTTAAATACATGTATTGATATTTCTCATAGTGTTTTTTCCCCCTATTTTATTTATTAAGAATGAAAAGACATTGTTTACCACAGCAGAGACAGTTCAGACTTTACAATTCTGCTGACCCTATCATATTTATTTTTCAAATGATGATATACAATGGGAAAAAAATCTTAATGCATATTTTTTCGTTTATATAATTGTCATAAAGTACTTTGCATTAAATAAAGACTTACAACTCAGTAGATTTTGTCTATTTGATTTTTTAAAAAATGGCAACACTTTTTGTTTCAAGATTTAAAAAATGAAAACACAAAAATTATTATAACTTTTTCATTTTTCAACCAATTTCAAAAAATAAAACCGTTTTGGAAATAGTTTTGAAGCCTCTTAAAAATAAAATGTTGCTTTTTAAATTGAGAAGTGCTTTTAAAAATCATGTTCCATAGCTACAATGAATGTTCTATACTGACAGACTCTGAACAGAGTCTGTCAGTATAGAACATTCACATTGCTGAACTTGCATAGACGTGCCCTTTGGTGTCAGTAGAGTATGACAACCCCCCTCCTTTTGCCAATACATGTGCTCATCATGCTGTAAATTTACACACCCTACATCTTCCAGAGTGTCAAGAATATCATTTTCCATGCTTATTCCTCTTGCACAACCGGCAGAGGAAGTAAGCTTTGCGCAAGTGCAAATTATTTCAGCGAATCAGGACGGAGATCCTATTTTCTGCAGAATAGAAAAACATGGCATCGCTCAAAGAAATCGTGATAATGTACCAGAGTTTGAAAAGAGAATGGGACAAGAAGCCACCGAACTTAGATAGATGCGGAGAATTTCTGACAAAATTGAAGGTATTATTTTCATTTAGATTATATTTCATGAATTTACGAGGAGTACTTGCTTAAAATTACTGCATCCAAAAAAGCTTACTCATTGTTATTGTGGCTCGAATTTTCTCTTATATATAATTGTTTGTTGTGTACAAGAAGTTAGAACATTTACATACTACAGTTTACTTAATTAATACTTTATAATTTTTCTTTGTGTATATCTCTTTTAAAGAATTTATAATTCAAATTTTTTGAATCGAAAAAATAATTAAATGTTACTTAGTTTACTGAGAAGCTTGAACAATTTTTGAAGATTTTTTTTGGTGAGGTATGTATGGATATTTAAATTACAAACACTACAACAGTTTTGTAACAATGATACTTTTAGATCGCACTAACGGGAGTCACATTTTTGCCAACAAATGAGAGTTCCCCATCAAAACAAGAACTTCTGGTGGCAAGTATGTAAATTCTTTAATCTAGAAATATATTATAGATGACTTACATACATTCACAAAATTATTTCACTTTGCGTGGTCAATATAGGGTCAACTGGTGTAAGGTACTGTTTTCCCTCTTTAATGTTACCAACTTAAAGAGGGCAGTATCTGATAAAGCTAAAAAATATAATAATCTTGTTTCCTGCTACCAGCATGAGGAACGATTTTATCGGTCCCCAGAAAAACGTGCTAAAATATAGTGTCACCATAGGCGACTTCAATATATATGAGATCATGTGAGCGATTGAAAAAAATAAAAAATATGAGGTTTTAAGCCTTTTTGACCCCAAAATCGAATTCTACGGTTTTAAAGTTTAGTTTTTAACCTCGTTTTCTGAAAAAAAAGTAATAAATGATGTTTATTCAGCAGGGTTCGACACTAACATTTTTAGGCTATAGTCCGGCCGGACTAGTGCTTCTTTACTTTTACTAGTCCGCACGCGATTTTATGAGTCCGTCAAAAAAAACTAAATTAATAGAATGAACATTGCAATGTACTTTTTGTACTTTTTCTGAAATAAACAAAGCAAAGATCCGTTAAAATCTTGCGATCAGGAACTGTATTAAAGATTTTATGGCCAAATTGTCATCAATATTGAATTAAATGGTTGTAAAATGTAGGCGGGAATAGGGAGTTACCGTGCATAGTTCTTTGTCAAAAGACATTTAAAGATTTAAACTGTCTACAGGTAAGTTACAAAGGATAAAGTGAGAAAAATAGGTGTTACTTCTACAAAATAACTCTTACAAATATGAAATTTGTCTATTATCTGGTTGGACATAGCTCACTAAATGGTGGTTTATCCCCCATTTGGTATTCAGTCACTTATATCAAAGTCAGTTTTTACTGATCATGTAGGAGATAGAAAAATCAATCTGTTCATTTTTCTCTGATTCTGTGGAGTGTCGCATTTTAACTGGTGTGGAATAAAATACAGATTTTACTCAGTCCTATGGGAGGAAAAAATCAGTATTTCATTAGGGAATTTTTTGTGCTACACTTTCAGAAATTTTACAAAATTTGTCATCTACATAAATGAGTGCAACATTTCCATTCTTTTTTAAAAACTTTTTTTATTCCCAAAGTTATTAACCCAACTTCAGTCATGTTTCACACTTTTTATTTTGATTGTCTGGGCTACTGATCAGACAATTTAAACCAATAAAAATGTTGATCTTTCTAAAAGCTGGTCAAAAGTTTAATTCAAGAACAGAGGAACCTTAGATGAGTGTCAGACTGTCAATTTTCTATTAGGAAATTAAAGGAAATAATATTTTCTTTGATGTCATTTAACTTTGTAATTAAAGGCTTTATTTTCTTTCCAATGGGATATACAATGAGATCATAATGTTTTTGTTGTTGTAAAATGATCTTCTTGGAATAAAATCAAGAATAATTGCAACAGTCACTTTGTGATTCTTTTAATGAAAATCTCTTACCAAATATTTTAGATTCATCAATAATTATATGCATACAGAACCATTAAGGTTGCATGGAATTTGCAGTGAGTGAGTGAACAGAATGGTGTCTCATTTCAGTTGCTTTTCTAAATAGAATATTGCAACAAAAGAAAAAGCAGATCTGTCTTCTCTCTGTTTACCCAAGATTTTTACAATTTTACACAGTTTACACATTTAGAACTGCATATGTAGTACTAGTAGTTTTGAAAACATTTTTGACATCTTCTTGTTTTAATTGTCATCATGTCAATGTTGATATTAAGACATGTAAGTACAACAAGGAATAAATTTGTTTATTGTGAATTTACTCATATTTTCTGCATAATTTACAAAATCTTGTGCTTAAAAGTCAAATCTTAAGGATATTAATAGAAAAATATGGAAAACATCATTTTGGGTAGGTGGGTCTGGAAAAAAATTTGTATATATTTTTGCTAGCTAAAATGCACTTTTTATCATGTATACAAATGCTGTATTGTATAAATTGTAAATTTTATTTCTTTACATGCTTTTCTCTTGAAGGAGATATTCTGGAGATTGGTGCACAGTGGGCAATTGCAAAACGAGACATCCCAGTTTTTGAGCGATACATGGCCCAGTTAAAGTCTTACTACATGGACTACAAGTACGATATTAGAAGCTTTTGGATAAAATAACCTCTGAAATTTGTTAATGCTATAGAAACATGAATAAAATAAGAAATATGTTACAATTTGAAGAATCTACACACAAAAAAACAAATTAATGAAATCCTGCATAATATAAATTTTATTCATCTCATCTCATCATGATGCATAAAAGTATGTATGCTATATTTAGCTCACCTGAGCTTTTCTGATCACATTTTGTCCATTGTCCATCTGTCTAGCTATTCGTCTGTCCTTCTGTCTATAAACTTTTCATATTTTCAACTTCTTCTCTAGAACCACTGGGCCAATTTCAACCAAATTTGTCACAAAGCATCATTGGAGAAAGGGGATTTAAGTTTTTTCAAATGAAGGGCCCCACCCTATTCAAAGGGGAGATGATTAAGAATTCATGAAAACTTAGTGGCATCATTTAAAAATCTTCTTCTCAAGAACGACTTGGCCAAAAAATTTGAAACTTATGTAAAACCTTCATTATTTATATAACATAGATTTAAATTTGTTCAAATTATGACCATCAGAGGTAGGGTTGGGCCACAGTGGGTGGTCAAAGATTTACATAGGAATAAATAGAGAAAATCTTGTCAAGAACAGCAAAGCCATGATTAGTCATATTGATATGGAAGAATCTTCATGTAATGTAGATTTAAGTTTCTTCAATTCATGACCCCTGGCGGTTGGGTGGCAACAATTTGGGGTCAAAGTTTTACATAAGAAAATATGTAGGAAAATCTTTTAAAAATCTTGTCAAGAACAGCAAAGCCATGATAAGTCATGTGGATATTGAAGCACCTTCAGGTAGTGTAGATTCAAATTTATTCTAATCATGACCCCCAGGGGGTGGGTGGGGCCACAATGAGGGATCAAAGTTTTAAATAGGAATATATAGTGTAAAAATTTTCTTGTCAAAAAGAGCAAAGCCATGATTAGTCATATTGATAATGAAACATCCTCAGGTAATGTAGATTCATGTTTCATCAAATTATGACCCCTGGGGGTAGGGTGGGCCACAATTTGGGATCAAAGTTTTACAAAGGAATATATAGTTTAAAAATCTTTTGATCAAGAACAGTTAAGCCATGATTAGTCATATTGACATGGAAGCATACTCAGGTAGTGTAGCTTCTAGTTTGTTGAAATCTTGACCTTGCTAGTATGATGGGGTGACAATGGGGGGTCAAAGTTTTACATAGGAACATATGGGGGAAAAAATCTTTAAAAACCTTCATCTGAAGTACAACAGATCCATGATTAGTCATATTGATATGGAAGTATATTCAGGTTGTGTAGATTCAAGTTTGTTAAAATCATGACCCCAAAGGGTAGAGTTTTGTCACATCTTTCAAAATCTTCTCAAGAAAAGCAAAGCCATGATCAGGGTTCTCCACATTTGAAAATTTAACCATGGAGGAAGCTGCGCGAATGCGCAATGCGACCAAAAACACGAATGCATGTTAGACTTCCTAACCTTCATTAATCAATTGGTTAATTCACAAAACTTAACCACTGCAGCACAAAAAGTTGAAATAACCAATAATTTTTTAAGCTAAAAAATTAAAAATAAAAAGGATTATGTATCTTAATTACTCTACAAATGTACCAAAATTGGTCCAAAACTGTAGGAACACTTTGAAGGAATTTCAAAATAATGTTTTGATAGAGTAACCATGGCAACAGTTTTCAAAAACTGATATACAGAATTGATGTTGCCTGTTATATAAAAAGTTTTATTTAAATATGACAAAAACTGATGAATTGGTAGTACTTTAAAAAAAAGTTAACAGACACACAAACAAATGAAAGCTGACATCCTACTAATGCCTAAGCTTTTTTTAACTGCATGATCTATGAAAACTTACTGGTGGCATACATGGTAAAAGTAACTTAGTATAACCAGGGGCATTAATTTGCATTAATGGAATTTTGCTTTCTCTATTCTGTCTTTCTCTAAACGTTATTTTTTCTACATATTGCATTTTCGCTGAGTTTTCCTCCATGTGCCCGTGCTAAGAATAGTGCCATGCGAAGTTTCATAAAAACAGGAGGTAACTCTAAAACTAAGACGACGATTGGCACTTACGTAAATTTTATCAGAAAGATAATAAAGTTAATACTTGAAAACAAAGCATGAGGAATTGATTAAATACAAAGAATAGGAAATTTTGAAAGGGCTCATTTTTTTCTGGGCATACCTACTGCTCGTTATGATCTTTTATCAAATAGTGAACACGTTGGAATTTCCCGAAATTACATGTTTGTATACTACAGGATAATTAATTCTCAAGATATTGATCTTCAGCTGATTCACCCTCCATTGTCACGCTTCCCAGCATAGTCGCCGATCAGCGACCGTGTTTGTTTGCACAGTCCGCTTTCCCTCGAGGCATGCCAGATGCATGGCAGTCGTAGTATAAACACAATTAACTACTCAAGTCATTAAAAAGTAGGTGTAAATACTAAAATGCAATAAAAATTTAACCATGGCGGCCGCCCATTTTAACCATGGCGCAGCTCGTTTAACCATGGTGCACATAAATTTAACCATGGCGGGACGCCATGGTAAAACCCCTTGTGGAGAACCCTGCATGATTAGTCATATGAAAATGGGAGTATCCTCAGATAGTGTAGATTCAAGTTTGTTCAAATCATGACACCTGGGAGTAGGTTGGGGCCCCAAAGGGGATCAAAGTAATACATAGGAATATATAATAGAAAAAAATCTGCTGATGAAGAATTGCAGGGCCTTATTGACTCAGATAAGCCTTGTGGCCCATGGGCCTCTTGTTAAATTAGGTTGTTCACAAATGAGGTAAGTTATTTAAATTGTAATTAATATGTAAACACACATCTTTATTAATTACAGTGTATTTTCTATCTGCTGTATAGAAAAATTGTTCATAATCAAGTAGTAAACAATGTTCACAATATAACTTGGACATAGGAAGGAGGAAAAAACTGTTTCCAGCAAACTCATTTAATGCTTTAAAATTACACAGCAATATTCTCATTCCCTATATCACAACATGTGGAAATTTCTATTTTAAAACAATGAGTTCACTGCCATTTATTATAAAGCGAATCAAAGTCTTAACTTCTTTATGGTTTATTTTTCTCCACAGAGACAACCTCCCTGAATCTACTTATAAATACCAGTTACTGGGCCTGAATCTCCTCTGTCTATTGGCACAGAACAGATTGGCAGAGTTTCACACTGTAAGTATGAAGCACATGGCACCATCAACTGTATGCAGACTATATCCATGTAAATATATGATAAGGTTGTTAGGATGCCATGAATTGCTAAAAAGTTGGCCTGCACTCATGGCCATTGACTGGCATTGAGCAGTAAGGGATCTTTTTTTTTTGCCAGCATCAATAATGCAACACTGGACATTGGTTTATATGGTCTCATCTGAAGGACAAGTCTCCTTCAGTGGAATTTGAACCCACGATATAGTGTTCGACTCCTCATTATACTTTAGAACGTGGAGAGACCTTCACTCTAAGTATTGGTATTTCAATTTAAGCTACAGCTGTGTCAAGAAGCTTATCACAGTGTTGTATAAAAAGTATTTACTAGGTCTCCTCCCACATTTTAATGGTAGTATAAAATTTAATAGACCTTGTTATAAGGATAATCATAAAGATATTCAGAGTTTGAAATTATCATCTCTATCTCAGGACTCTTCAGGGACTCAAAGGGGTGTTGTTTTGTTAAAAAGTAGAGCAATAGTCTCTTTTTTTTTTTAGGAAACTGGTTGTAGGAGCATAAGTGGTAAATACTGTGGCTAGTAAATTGGTTATTGTATATAAGAATTGCAATCTCTAGTACTGAATAAGGTTTTTTACTGGATAAGTATTCAAATTGCACTTGTTTTTAGTTGTGTCTCTCTCTTGGAAATAATTTTCATAATTCTATAATAGATTGGTTACATTTGTGATATCTAGTTTTACATGTATGCAATTTTATTTTATTGATATTAATGCAAAGCATTGTGTAAACATTGTATAATAAAAAAAAAAAAACCAACATCTGATTAGGTAAGCTGAAAACAAATTCACTTTACTGAACTACTGCAATAGCAGAGAAGCATTTATTAATGTTAAGTATATGTCAGATTTGTCAGTGAGTCTGGAATCACAGATTTTGGTTTATATTTCAGGAACTAGAACTTTTACCAGTTAAAGAATTACAAAATAACATTTACATAAAACATCCTGTTTCCATGGAGCAATACTTGATGGAAGGCAGTTACAACAAGGTATAGTGTAAATCTTATTTTATTGCAAAGTGGTAAAATATTGAAGATACAATATTTTAATATTTTAGGGATGTATGTACTAAATACTTGTCTATTTATTTACAGGTTTTTCTTGCAAAAGGAAATGTTCCAGCAGAAAATTATAACTTTTTTATTGATATTCTATTAGATACAATAAGGTAGGTATAGGGATAACAAGAATTATATTCCTCAAAAACTTCTACATGAGAAAAAAAACTCTTGCTCTGGCCTTGAAGTCGACAAATCAATTAACAATAGTTACTTTCATTCATGTGTTGACTTTATATATCCCAGTAAACTCAAAATTAAAGACACTAAGAGTCTGCCACATATGTTTCATATTTGGATGTTTTACTGACTATAGATGATAATGGTCAACTAATAACTAAACTGCATAACAGGACTACTTCAGATTTTCCATCATCAACTTCCCTTATTTATGTTGTAATATTGCAACATCACCAGCATATAGTGTTTATGTCTCCCAACTGATTCAGTATACAAAACTATGCTCTGAGTACAATCAATTTTAAAACCGAGACAACTATTGACAAATAAGTTGATGTTACAAGGATTTCAACAATCCACTTAAAGAATGTTTGTAAATGAAATGTATCGTTAGCTCTCTTCAAAGCTCAGTTTCAAAGAAACTATCCAAGATATTTTTATCAAACTTCATATGCTGATAGATATTGATGAGAGCTATGCAACTGCATCAACATTTTTTGACCTTGACCTTTCCTTTGACCTTGACCTCACTTTTCTTAAATTAATGTTTAGCTCAGTTTTAAAGATACCATTCAAGATAGAGTAATCAAACTTCATATGTTGATACATACTGATGTAAGCTATTCAACTGCATCAACATTTTTTGACCTTGACCTTTCCTTTCACCTTGACCTCACTTTTCTTAAATTAGTATTTAGTCCAGTTTTAAAGATACAATTCAAGATGGTGTAATCAAACTTCATATGTTGATAAATACTGATGTAAGCTATTCAACTGCATCAACATTTTTGACCTTGACCTTTTCTTTTGACCTTGACCTCACTTTTTAGGTCACCTGAGTTTACTCAGGTGACCTATTGCTATCTGTTTTCGTCCGTCGGCGTGCGTCGTCCGTCGTGCGTTAACATTTGAACATTTTCAGCTTCTTCTTTGGAACCACTGAACCAATTTCAACCAAATTTGGCATATAGCATCTATGGGTGCAGAGAAGTAAAAATTGTGAAATTCATGATCCCTACCCCCCTGGGGCCTGAGGGGTGGGGCTAAAACTATCAAAATTAATACAATCTTTAAAAATCTTCTTCTTTACTCCTGGACATCAAGCAGTCAAACTGTTGGCATGATTGTAATAGGCATTGAGTCCTCTACCAAAATTGTGAAAATCATGGCCCCAGGGTCAGGGGTTCTGGTGCTAAGGTGGGGCTATATAGATCATATAGTGAAAGTGCATTATTTCTTTGAAAATCTTCTTCTCTGCTCCTGGGTATTAAATAAACTTACTAAGTACATAGTTATGAAGAGCAAGAGAGCCTCTTCCAAAATTTTGAATTTCATGGCCCCAGGGTCAGGGGTTCTGGTGTTAGGGCGGGGCTCTACTGATTATATAGTGAAAATGCATTAATTCTTTGAAAATCTTCTTCTCTGCTCCTGGGTATTAAATAAAGTAACTAAGTACATAGTTATGATGAGCAAGAGTGCCTCTTCCAAAATTGTGAATTTCATGGCCCCAGGATCAGCGGTTCTGGTGTTAGGGCGGGGCTCTACTGATTATATAGTGAAAATGCATTAATTCTTTGAAAATCTTCTTCTCTGCTCCTGGGTATTAAATAAAGTAACTAAGTACATAGTTATGATGAGCAAGAGTGCCTCTTCCAAAATTGTGAATTTCATGGCCCCAGGATCAGGGGTTCTGGTGTTAGGGCAGGGCTCTGTTGGATATTTAGTGAAAATGCATTATTTCTTTAAAAATCATCTTCTTTGCTCCTGGGTATCTAGCAAACAAACTGAATGCACAGTTATGATGAGAAAGGATGCCTCTTCCAAAATTGTGAATTTCATGGCCCCTGGGTCAGGGGTTCTGGTGTTAGGGCGGGGCTCTAATGATTACGTTGTAAAAAATGCAATAATTCTTTGAAAATCTTCTCCTGGGTATTAAGCTGATGAATAAAGAGTATAGTTATGATATGTAAGGGTGCCTCTTCCAAAATTGTGAATTTTATGTCCCCTGGGTCAAGGTTCTGGTGTTAGGGCAGGGCTCTGGTGTTAGGGCAGGGCTCATGGCAGAGTTGATACATGATACTCAGGTGACCTATAAGGCCCGTGGGCCTCTTGTCTTAAATTAGTGTTTAGCTCAGTTTTAAAGATACCATTCAAGATAGTGTAATCAAACTTCATATGTTGATACATACTGATGTAAGATATTCAACTGCATCAACATTTTTTGACCTTGACCTTTCTTTTGACCTTGACCTCACCTTTCCTAAATTACTGTTTAGCTCAGTTTTAATGAAACCATTTAAGATATTTTTAACAAACTTCATATGCTGATACATACTGATGAGAGCTATTCAACTGCATCAATATTTTTTACCTTGACCTTTACTTTGACCTTGACCTCACTTTTCTTAAATAAGTTTTTAGATCAGTTTTAAAGATACCAATCAAGATAGTGTTATCAAACTTCATATGCTGATACATACTGATGAGAGCTATTCAACTGCATCAACATTTTTTGACCTTGACCTTTCCTTTGACCTTGACTTCACTTTTCTTAAATTAGTGTCAAACTTCATATGCTGATACATACTGATGTAAGCTATTCAACTGCATCAATATTTTTTTACCTTGACCTTTCCTTTGACCTTGACCTCACTTTTCTCAATTTGTGTTAAAATGTTGCATTACTAATATACCCTCGGCGGGGCATTCATGTCCTATGGACATATTTCTAGTTTCTTCTTTTTTGATTTTATTGAATGACAGGTCAACATCTAGCTTTCCCCATTTAATTCTTACCATTTTGCAGTTTGTGACAGGAGATAATTTAATTACATCACTTGACTATTATTGTATTAACAACTTATTAAGTCTTTATTCAATGCCACCACTATAAACACAAAAAGCACTTTGAAGGTTGGATACTTGTTTCTTTTTTTTCCCAGAAATGAGATTGCGAGTTGTATAGAGAAGGCTTATGAAAAGATAGCACTTAATGAAGCAGCTAGAATGCTGTTTTTTGAAAATGCAAAACCTATGAAAGACTACGCTGTTCAGGTAACCCTTTAATGTGTCTTGGGATTAACATTACATTCTCAATCTTTTTATTGGAAGATAGTGCATATTTATTGACTAAATATGATTATCATAATGCTTTATCATCAGTTAAAAGAGGGAAAATATCGATTAACATTGAGAATTAAAGTGTTCTTTCTCAGTTGACAATTGCGAGTTTTTTGTTTGTTTATATAATCAAGTTAAATACAATTGTGTATATGATTTTAGAGAGGATGGACCCTGCCTCCAGATGGGTTCTTCCATTTTCAGCACGAGAAGAAAGATACTGATGAAGTGATTCCAGCCAAGCAGTTAGCCGAACAGACCATAGAGTATGCCAGAGAACTAGAAATGATTGTGTAGTATTCCGACATCTTTAATATTGATTTCATGGACATTAATAGCTGCAGATATGATTCTTTTTCAATGACTGTGATAAGAATGCGAAAGAATCAATTCTCTTGCAAATGTACTTGTAAAATGATACATAAATGATACATGTACATTTGTAACTTGATGTTTATTTTATTGTCGTGACAATGGGGTTTTTCTGACTAGGGAAGGCAGTACAGTAATACACGTAATGTTGCAAGGAGGAAAGTTAAAATGGAATTTGCTTTTTTCAGTGACTTTATAAGAGTTGAGAATGACTTTTTTCTAGTGAAAGATCATTTATACCAGGTGTATTCTAAAAATTCATTAGTAATGCAGTAAAGGGGAAAAAAAGAGAATTTGTGTAGTATCTAATTAACATTGAACACTGAAGTTTCTGCAGTGTACCAATCTGACTACAGTCACATAGAGTACACATAGTACAGTGTAGGGACAGTCAAGATAAAGAGCACAATAAAGTCTGATGTAAAACAGATTGTATAATGTATATGCAAAGACTATGTCAGCAGGTGCAGAACTACATGTATATTAACAAGATGCCCGAGGGCCTTAACGGTCACCTGAGTATAATACAACACTGTAAAGGATCCATAGAAGTATAACAAAATTAACTGATAATTGAAGCTATTTTGCCCAAGAATTTCAAAAATTTGTTAAAATTACCCTTACTTATTGTAACAAATGAGACCCGAGTGATCTCCTTGGGATCGTACTTGGTTTTCCCAAGTCTTATAGGGCTGATAATGAATGCAAAATATTCAAATACAACGGACACTTGCCTAGTGTGTAAGGTTAACAATATACTGTAGATTCCTAAATATTCGCGAGGAATTAATTATCGCGTAATTACGCGAGAAGCATCTCTCGCGAAATAAAATTACTCGTTTTTATTTTCATTATGCTGAAATCCATGTAAAATCAGTTGATCAACCATCCATTCGCGAATTATTGTTCTCGCGATTTGACGTTTAAGGGCCATTTCGCGATATTAAGTACCCGCGTAAAATAAGGAATCTACAGTATACAGATATTGTTTTTGTCACTTGCCTAGTGCTACAAAAGTACACAAAGATAAATCTCAATACCTGTATATTTACTCAAGGTGATGCCTCTTGGCTTCACAAACAACTTAGCTGCTTGCCTCTTGGTAACACTTGGTATCAACACTTGCCTCTTGGCTATACAATAAACTTGGTAATACTTGCTACCAGCACTAGAAACTTCAAGCAGACACTAGCAATCTAAACTCTGATCTCCATGACTTTTCCTGACCATAACTCCATCATCAAATAGGACACCCCCGCAGGTGAGTTAAGGCTGGGCATAGGTATTTCTATGCAAATAAACTAATTAAAATGCTTAAAGACTATATCTATTATACAGAGAAAGTTAAAACATTTTCTAATACATAGTTGGTACCCACAACATGAGATAGCAAGTACACATTATGACGTCTGACATTGTTCTTTACTACACAAGATTATACTAGACATCAACAAAAATGCTTTGGCGCAAGGGCATGCTCTATTTTATTTAACAGAAACAAGGAATATTTAGAAGCAAAATATTCTAAAGATTGCTGATATTGCTGCACAAATATCAACAGCTGAGTTGTTTAATTACTATTTGTAAAGTTTTACGCTGAATCAGGGTAAAAATGTACAATCCAGTATAAGTTTCCTCCAATTCCGATCAAATGATAAAATGCCTAGGATTTGTGCAGCAGTTTTATTATGCCCCGCCATGAATATGGCTGGGGCATATAGTGTTTGTCCATCTTCCGTCCTTCCATCCTTCTGTCCTTCCGTCACACTTTGCGTTTAGCTCTCTTCAAAGCTCAGTTTCAAAGAAACTATCCAAGATATTTTTATCAAACTTCATTTGCTGATAGATATTGATGAGAGCTATGCAACTGCATCAACATTTTTTGACCTTGACCTTTCCTTTGACCTTGACCTCACTTTTCTTAAATTAATGTTTAGCTCAGTTTTAAAGATACCATTCAAGATAGAGTAATCAAACTTCATATGTTGATACATACTGATGTAAGCTATTCAACTGCATCAACATTTTTTGACCTTGACCTTTCCTTTCACCTTGACCTCACTTTTCTTAAATTAGTGATTAGCTCAGTTTTAAAGATACCATTCAAGATAGAGTAATCAAACTTCATATGTTGATACATACTGATGTAAGCTATTCAACTGCATCAACATTTTTTGACCTTGACCTTTCTTTTGACCTTGACCTCACTTTTCTTAAATTAGTGTTAAGCTCAGTTTTAAAGAAACCATTCATAATATTTTTATCAAACTTCATATGCTAATACTTACTGATGTAACCTTTTCAACTGCATCAAGAATTTTTGGACCTTTCATTCGACCTTGACCTCATTTTCTTAAATTAGTGTCAAACTTCATATGCTGATACATACTGATGTAAGCTATTCAACTGCATCAATATTTTTTCACTTTGACCTCACTTTTCTCACTTTGTGTTAAAATGTTGCATTACTAATATACCCTCGGCGGGGCATTCATGTCCTATGGACATATTTCTACTTAATCTATAGAACACTTTTCTTAACATTACACAATTTTTATGTAAAATTAAATAGGGCAATCCCTTGAAGCTGATTCATTTTTGTGTTTTATTACCACCAGTAGGTAAGAACAATGATGTCATAATATGACGTCATAATGTGTACTGGCTATAACATATCATGGGTACTAAGTATGTATAAGAAAATAAATCAAAACTTTCTCTGAATAATAATAATACATATTATGCGTTTTTGTTGGCTCATTTTATAGAAACGCCTATACCTAGCCTTAACTCACATGTGCCAGTGTACACATACTCAGTACAACTTCATGTAGCCCTTTGCTACATAAATAATCTTTATGTCAATCCTTTATATCGCCTGCTAAGCAAGAATTCGATTTTGAGCATGCTTTGCTCATTTGAACCAAACATTCATTTTTATTTTGTTTCTATATATATAAAATTCTTCTTGTATTCTCATTCAATCAAATAACCTGTTAATTAAATTAAACAGAAGAATTTCTTGATTAAACACAATTTAGCAAAGGGAAGTAACTCTCATTTGCTTCACTGATTACAATTTTGTACTCTGCCTCCTTGATACCCAGGAGCAGAGAAAAGGCACATTTACTTATATTTAAACATTTACATTTATATTATTGCATTTAGTCTGTTTGCTTAAAGGCAGAGATTTTAAGCACCGCCTTCAAAAATACCTGGTCTGTGTACCCCTGTTAATCAAGTGCATAAAGGTACATCATTGGATGCTAGAACTTGATTGACATTTACTTACTAGTCCCTGTGTATACGCTGTACACATTGTTTGACACTCATGGTAACCTTCAATTTAACTTTCGATCCTTTGATATTTACCACTCATGGTATAAACAATAGAGAAGCTATATTACTATGGAAATTTTAGCTTGATAACATATATATATACACATCTTTAGTATTTGAAATAATTATGATATTCTTTAGGATTATATATATCAAAATTTGGTTTAACTTTTTTTTCAAAGCTCAACAAATACTTTGAATAATAAGTTTTTTAATAGGTGGGGATGCTTTGACACACATACAATTACAAATTACTACAAGAGGCCCAAGGGCCTTAACGGTCACCTGAGTATGATACAACAATTTAAAGGATGCATAGAATATAAAATGAACTGAAAGGTGAAGCTTTGTTGCCCAAAAGCAAGAAAAATAGGGTGATCAGGTTCAACAAATAATTAGTCTAGTATTCATTAACAGTTTGTAAATTAGGTTCTAATCTGTTCCCTGTTTATCACTATCACCATACAGTATATTAACAAACTAATCAGTGCTTCTGTACTATTTTAATTCCTTGTTGAAATCTCTTAAATTGGCCTCTCTTGGTCTTTGATGAACATTTAATAAGACAAGTTATTTTTGTCTCATTTTTATTTATCTATTACTTACAAGTCTACCTGATCATTAAAACTATGAAAGTACTTTTTGTATTATACAATAAAAATTCTTGCATAATTCTCTTATTCTATTAATCTTTCAAGTACATTATTTACAGTGATTAATTATCAAAAGTAAATGGCAAAGGGGAATAACTCCTTTTAGTAGAATACAAATGAATAGAGTCCTGGCCAGGACCAAAACACTTGACCAAATGGTCCAGATGTTCAAAATTCTGGTAAAAATACGCTTCCTTATTAAAACTTTTACTCTTTTTGCCTCTGATATGCCCAGGTGCAGAGAAGATTTTTAAAGAAATAATGCATTTTTACTACAGATTCACTATATTATCAATAGAGCCCCCCCCCCCCCCCCCCCAGCGAGAAACACCAGAGCCTCTCACCCTGGGACCAGAAGTTTGCTCATCATAAGTTATCACTTTGTTTATCTGCTTAACACTAAGAGCAGACAGAATTATTTAATAGAATTAATGCATTTTCACTATATTATCAAGAGCCCCACCCTTACACCAGCACATCTGACCCAGGGGTCATGCAATTCACTACTCTGGAAGAAACACTCTTGCTCATCATAACTATACATTTAGCTTCTTTGCTTTTTAACCAGGAGCAGAAAAGAATATTTTCAAAGATATTTTGCTTTTTCACTATATAATCAATAGAGCCCCCCCCCCCCCTTTCACTAGAACCCTTGGCCCTGGAGCCATGAAATTCACAATTTTGGAAGAGGCATCCTTGCTTATCACAACTATGTATTTAATTTGTTTAAAAATACCCAGGAGTAGAGAAGAAGATTTTCAAAGAAATAATGCACTTTCACTATATGATCTATATAGCCCCGCCCTAGCACCAAAACCCCTGACCCTGGGGCTTTGAATTTCACAATTTTGGTAGAGTCACTCTTGATTATCATAACTATGTATTTAATTTGTTTAAATAATACCCAGGCTTTCAGAAGAAGATTTTCAAAGAAATAATGCACTTTCACTATATCATCTATATAGCCCCGCCCTAGCACCAGAACCCCTGACCCTGGGGCCATGAATTTCACAATTTTGGTAGAGTCACTCTTGCTTATCATAACTATGTATTTAATTTGTTTAAATAATACCCAGGAGTAG